GGAACAATTAACTTTTTTGTTCGTTTTATGCTGATTGCGAGCAAAATGTGATTTTTATTTCTTTGTTCTAGCCTCAGGCATCAAGTTTTCATTTTGATGCTCATAATGAAGTCTCTGGTGGAGTATCTCCGATGTATGATCGGGAGACTGTAAGTTCCCAGAAGGCTATATCATTGCCCTCATCTCCTCATGAGTTCAGAAGTCAATCTTCTGAGAGAAGCCTTGTAGCAAACTATCCTCGAAACAACGAAATGTTTTCGACTTGGAATAAAGTTCTGGAATCTCAAATGTTCAATAACCAGCCTTTACTTGCTTATCAAGAGTGGAATATTGATTTTTCAGAATTGACCGTTGGGACTCGTGTTGGGATAGGTAAGTATGTATCATATCTTTCTCTGCTTTTTTGGGATCTTTTCGTTCTTTTGCTCTTTATCTTTGCATTTACCGAATGTTCTACAATCAATGATTCTGAGGAAATTTATGATAGTTCCTCATGATTATGGTGCCATTCCACATTCACAACTTTGGTTCCAAATGTGTACATTAAGTACTCTGGTCAGAAATTATTAGCTCATTGAATTCTAAAGTCTCCGGATAATCTAAATGTGAAATTGATTTGTCTAAGCATAGGGTTCTTCGGGGAAGTTTTCCGTGGCATGTGGAATGGGACAGACGTTGCTATTAAGGTTTTCCTAGAGCAAGATCTTACTGCTGAAAACATGGAAGATTTCTGCAACGAGATTTCCATTCTAAGGTTTGTGACACTGGCCTGTTGATTATCTTATCCTCAAGGTGTATCTATCTGACTTCATGTGCTTGTTCTATGCCTACATGGATCACCATTCAGCCGTCTTCGACATCCTAATGGTAATATTCTTTTCTTGCTTGTCCTTGCACTCCATATAAAGAGAGTAGTTGGTATTTGGAGCATATGCAGAGAGGGGATTATGTATATGGAGCATCAATCGAATATTTCACTAAGAATTCTTACTGTTTTACACTGTTCACTATTCCCATTGCCAATGGAAGCTCAAATTATTTAACCTATCTTGGGCTAATATCTAGCAAATAAAGCAACCTATTCCGTCCTTGCAGTGATATTATTTTTGGGGGCGTGCACGAGGCCTCCACATCTTTCTATGGTAACCGAATACATGGAGATGGGCTCCTTGTACTATTTGATCCATTTGAGTGGTCAGAAAAAGAAGCTTAATTGGAGGCGGAGACTTAAAATGATACGTGATATATGCAGGTTTGTGTGATTCCTCAAACATCAAAGATTTTTATTATGGCTTGCATTCAAGTATTAATTTGAATTATTGTCATGGCATAAAAATAATTGGGCTCGATAAAACTCAAGGGGAATATCCTCGTTAGTAAGATAACTATGTCCAACTTACGGGGACAAGATGCTACATCTTGCATTGAAAAGATATGTCTTGCCTTTCAGTTCTTGGCATTCGAACTCCTTGAGTTTAGAGACAAATATGTACAAGCAGAACAGTATTGAGAGTCTTGTCAATTTTTTTTCAATCAACTCAATGGGGATGCACATGATGCCACTCGTTAAAGTAAGGAATGCTTACCAAGGGTATTATTGAGTTAACTCCATGGACTCAGCGAAATTTTTTTACTTGAACTTCATACAAATCTTCTACCAGTGTCAAGTGATTTTAATGGAACAGGCAATCATGTTCTTCTCAAGATAGCACTACAGTTCAATAACTTGATATTTATTCATTTAAGTTTGTATTTAGGTTTTTATGGAAGATTAATTGTTTGGAAATCAAACGGACGAAACTCTTAAAGCCAGACTTTATGTTGTGTTATTCTACTTTATCTTAGTTGCTGCTTAATTCTTTCATTTTTGTTGGTGTTGACGTGTGTACACCGGAAGCAGGGGGTTAATGTGCATACACCGGATGAAGATAGTACATCGTGACTTAAAAAGTGCCAATTGTCTTGTTAATAAGCATTGGACCGTGAAGATATGCGATTTTGGCCTATCAAGGATAATGATAAGCTCACCCATGAGAGACTCTTCATCTGCTGGAACACCAGAATGGATGGCTCCTGAACTTATACGCAATGAACCCTTCACCGAGAAATGTGATATCTTCAGCCTTGGGGTGATAATGTGGGAGCTTTGCACATTAAATAGACCATGGGAGGGTGTGCCACCAGAGAGGGTGAGTAGGCTGTTCTGACTTTACTACCGCATGATCCGTTTAGAGTTTCAGATTGTTTTGATTTGAGAGCAAGCAAGTCTTAGCTGTTGCTTAATTTCATCCGAAAGATTAACCTTTGCACATGACTCGGTTTGCTATGGCCATATAATATAATGTTGGGAGTTTTATCAAGTGCAACTGGCATGGGGGCACACAAATACTTGTGCATTTGAAAAGGAGATGATGAGGAGAAAGTGGGATTAGTTGTGATTGAAAAAGAAAGGGAAAAAGGACTCACTGCACGAGCGAAGGAGTGTTACCTAAGATAATCGTTTATTTGAATTACTGTAACTGCCTCCATTTCAACTTTCGAGTGCTATTGCTCAATGGTTTCAGATTTGCCGCAAAGAATAGCGCACGCCATAGTTGATGTATTGAAACAGACTCAAATGCCTACTTGTGTCGGTTTCTGAAATGCACACATTAACCATACTGTATTTAGGTTTTGTCTTTTTCTTCTGTGATCGGGGATGCGCGATATAATGTGGGTCCTCTGTGCTGTCAGGTGGTATATGCAGTAGCTAATGAAGGATCCAGGTTGGATATTCCCGAAGGTCCCCTCGGAAGGCTAATCACAGGTCCTCCTCGGTCCATACTCCAATTTTGACCTAACTTAAGAGAGTTTCATGTTGGTTCGCACTGAGTTATTTTTTGCAAAAGTCTGATCTTCTGTTGATGTGCCCTTGCAGATTGCTGGGCGGAACCGCAAGAAAGGCCGAGCTGTGAGGAGATTCTCTCCCGGTTGCTTGACTGCGAGTGATTCTCACCGCGACTGGGATTCTGCGGTTTGTGTACAGAAAGTCTGGAAGAGTTTTGACGCTGTCTTTTTCGGCTTTAACCTTGTAATCTGTAAAATGATTTTGCAAAATGAGCATAGAACGTCAAAGAGTTGGTCGTCCGGATCTTTTTTTCTTTCTTTTTGTGGTCCATGTTTTCGTCTTATGTGAGTGGAAAATTTCGGCTCATAATTGATTTTGGGCCAGGTTTGGCCGGGGTCGTCAAATTTGTATGGGAAAATGACGAGAATCAGCCGGAGAAACAGTGGAACAGGCGTGATTATGTTCAACTGTATAGTTGACAGGAGATCAGAGACTTGGCTAATCTAGTTTATTAATTGCCAGACGACATTATCCTTATCATATTGATTCATTATAACTAGCGAAATTGCTTTTCTACGGTTTAAAATGGCCTTTTGAAAAAGATAAAAATCAAAGGAGGAAAAAGGACGGCATCGATATTTTGTACGGCGATTGTTTTTGTATGAAAATTTTTCAAACAATCTTTTAAATGCCGCAAGTTTTGGAAACCAATTACTTGAGCCACTTCGGCAAATCTGATGTGGTTCGCCGCGGGAATCACTTACATGGAGGCTGGAGGCATGTAGAAAGTATTGGCATAGAAATTATCGTTCATAATGTTTTGGCACTAATTTGTTTATCTATAAAACTTTTGCTCTAACATTTTCTAAATTAGAAAATTTATAAAACGGTGATGTGAGCCAAAAGCAATATTTGCCTTGTGAATGTTACGGGTGCGTTCGTTTCTTGGAAAATGAGCGATCTAGAAAACATTTTTCGAAAAATGATCGCTTATATTTTTTAAAAAAATAAATGAATGGAAGCTTTTTTCATTGTCCAGGAAAATAGTTAGGTATAGATTGTTATTGATGATGAAAATATTTTTCGTTGACTAATTTTTCTAAATAATACAAGCAATCATTTTTCGAAAAATATTTTTCAAATCACTCATTTTCCGTGAAACGAGTACACTCTCCAACTCTATCGTTGTCTTTCTTTGTTCTTTGTTTTTTTAGACTCCAAAGAAAAATCACGGAGCAAATATTTTCTCCGAATAATTTTATTTTACTGTCACAAAGATTTGTTTGCTTTCCTAGAAAAAAAAGAAGTAAGTAAAATTTTCATCACCTCTCGTAACGTTGCGCTTGTTTCTTCTCTAATGTTGCTCTGTTTTGAGATTGAACAACTACATGTCTGTGATTAACAATGCGGATCAATGCTAGGGGGAAAGTTTGGAACCAATTTAACCCCAATCAACATTATTGTTATAAAAGCCAAAACTTTAAACAGACGTCACTTTAGTGCCGAAATTTTACGAACGACTAATTTAATGCCAAAACTTTGTAAAAGCTATCCATCTAAGCAACTCCGATAAGCTACGCCAATCTTTTATGATCAGATTTTCCGTCGCTAGAGTCATTTAAGTAATCGCTATGTAAAAGTCGTGACGGTTAAAAGAATCGTTTGAAAAAGTTTTGACATCAAAGTGGACCCATCGGACTCGCGGTTTTATATTTGGAATGGAGAACTAGAGGGAGAGTGAGAGGGAGAGGGAGAGAGTGATTGAGTTGAGGCGAGGCAACGGTGAGAGCAGAGGTCAGGCGAAGAAAAAGGAGGGACGAAAAGCCTATATCTCGAGTTTACAACAATACAGCCCCCATGAATAATAACAAAAGAAAGAAGCTCTCTAGCACTTCACCCACCGCCGTCGACGACTCAGACCGCGCGCCCCCCTCCCTCCGGCTCCACCACTCCGTACCTCTCCGAACCCAGCCGTCCGTACTCTCTGTTTCCAACGCTTCTTCTCGGTTTGGGTCGTTTCAAAAAATATAAATCTTTATCGCCCCCCCCCCCCCCTTCCTCCTCCCCCCGCCCCGCCACTGAGTCGCAACCCCCCCCAACTCACCGCTCATAACCTCACCAGAGACAGAGACAGAGACAGAGAGAGTAACCTCGCCGTCTTCCTCTCCCCTCCATGGAGCCCCCCAGCGGGACTCCCCCGCCGCCGCCGGCCCACCGCCCCTCCTCCGCCTCCGCCGCCGCCGCCGCCGCGGTCCCCCCGCTCCGCGAGGACTGCTGGAGCGAGGACTCCACCTTCGCCCTCATCCACGCCTGGGGCGACCGCTTCCTCGCCCTCGACCGCGGCAACTTCTCCCAGCAGGACTGGCAGGACGTCGCCCACTCCGTCAACTCCCGCCCCTCCCCCTCCTCCGGCGAGGCCCGCCGCACGGGCGCCCAGTGCAAGAACCGCATCGACACGCTCAAGAAGAAGTTCAAGCTCGAGAAGGCTAGGGTTTCGGATCCCCGCGGCGGCGGCTACCTCAGCCCCTGGCCCTTCTTCGCCGACCTCGACGCCCTGATCGGATCCAACTTCCCGCCGCCGAGGAAGCCCCCCTCCCGGTCCCCGACGCCCCCGCTGGCGCCCCGATCGAGGCCGAGGCCGAGGTCGAAGCGAGGGGCGGCCCCTCGGCCGGCCCGGAGCGTGCTGCCGCCGGCGGTGACCGTGCCGGTGCGCCCCCGGAGCCACAACCGGACGAAGCGCGCGCCGGCGAGGTCCCCCGCCGGCGGATCGTGTCTCCGGCCCGCCTTCTCGGCGGCGGAGGAGGAATCGGGGCGCTTCGGCTCGAGGACGAAACCGAGGTCCGGCGAGGGGAGCGCGGCGAGGAGAGAGAGAGGGTACGCGGAGTTAGCCGAGGCGATAGAGAGGCTGGGGCAGATATACGAGAGAGTGGAGAGGAAGAAGGCGAGGGAGATGATAGAGCTGGAGAAGCAGCGGATGCAGTTCGCCAAGGACTTGGAGCAGCAGAGGATGCGGTGGTTCTTGGAGACGCAGATTCACCTCCAAAAGATCAAGAAACTGAAGCAGAGTCCAATCGACGGTAATGGGCTTCGTTTTTCCGACTACATTCCCGTGAATTATTCTTTGGTTTTCCGGGTGGAACACGATTTCGCTCTGTTTTGGTCGTAATCATTCATCAAGTTCGCAGTTACTAGGAAGATGATTACGTTCTCTGAGACGGCATTGCTATTGCGCTTACGGTATGTGCTGATACAAGTCGGAGGGACGGAAAAATTTTGTTCGTATCGCTATGTTGTTGTCTTGTGTTAGAAGTGGCGATGTCAATTACATGGGTGAACTGCGAAGTTGGTTCGCCATGTTTGGGCTGGGGGATGGGCCGTGGAGTTAGAGAGTACTGTCGCTGTGTGACCCTTGTTGGCTTTGGGATGGGGCAAAAGCCTTCAGAGCCTTTGTAGTGGCCACTTGGGCGGGTCTCTTTGGCAGAGTTTCTTTCACATGAAAGAAGCTTTGTTGTGTGAGCCTCCCGTAGAAAGATAGAGAGGTGTCTAAGGACTTCTCTCTGATATTGGAGAGGAAAAGTGCCGATCTTGCGCGGTCTCGTATTGGTACGCAAGTGCGTGGGGTGTGGAGAGATTCAGATCACGGGACGGCTGAAAGAATTATTCGGTCGATGGTTACATGATGCTCCTAAGTTAGTCATGCCATACTTTCCACGGTCGGTCGGGTTTTCTGATTGAGAATTATGTTGATGCCTCCTTTTTTCCTATCCGTAATCAGTTATCTAGAGGGGAATGAGTGGATATATTCTTCCTGAGTTAGATGTGAGTATAAAAGCTAATTCGCATTGCATCTAGCCGTTTGTTTCTGGGTTCCTAGGATTCACCTTGTGTTTAAGCACTTCTCTTGCATTGTTATGACGTTCTCTGGTTCTCGAAGATGTTATATGGATCAACTCCATACCAAACAGTCCCCGGCTGTTCAGCACTTCTTGTTTGATGCTTATATCAGCACTTAATGCTTTATGGTAATTTCATTAGAATCTGAAGTCTTTGGATAGATAGCTCAATTGAGACTCGCATCTATTCTATAAACCTGTAGAAGCATATGACTTTTCAAATGTTGCTGTAGGCACAGATACGCAAAAATAGTGAATGAAGTATTTTTCTATTCTGTGCACGAATTTGACTTTTATGTCCAAATTTTTTGCTGTTACTGATCAAAAAGATTTTCGCTTTAGAAGCAGTTGATCATAATTTCAGAGACTTTTGAAATTGAGGGGAAATTGTCAAATTTCTTTTGAACTCCCAGAATATGAACATTCCTCGAGTCTGTAAGTTTAGAAACTATTAGACTTTACAAATTGATACTTCCAGGTAGTTAGAAAACAAGTTTCTTTTACCGTGCTCTTCAAAATCGCATCGCCTTTCAAGTTTCGACCTTCTTGGGTCTCGTACTTGCAAAGTTTCTGCAATGATTTGCTAAGAATGCTGAGTGAGTGTGATCTTCCCTGTTTCAGAGAGTTACTTGTAGATGGTCATGTCTGGGAAGAGCCTGCAAGTCCCGGCTTCAAACTTGGTATCGCATTTCCTACCTGCGAAAATGTTCCGGTTGTCTCTTAAGTGACAGTTATCAGAAGGTACACTCTTCGACGAAGCTCGGGAAGAAGTTTGGTTGCTTTTGTATTTTAATGGTTAGGTGAGAGTTAGTTTAATGTTTCTCTGTGGGCAAGAAGCACTAGAATTTACAGATATAGGTTGGATTGACCGTGTTAATATTATATCTCAGATGTAAAATTTCTCCTTTTCCTTGAGAAGCTTTCACAGGACTTCCATACTGGAGGTGATCTAGGCCCGATTGTTTAATGCTTGAAACTTCTTAAACCATCGGTGTATTCCAAGTAACTGAGAATGAGCCCTTGGTATATTGCTTCATCAAATGACTTGCCCCTTCCGTTCAAATGCGTAAAAGTAAAAGAGTCATCTTTCGGAACGTTATGCTAGTGCCCGATGGAATGGATATGTGCTAAATCACTTTCTTAATCAAGTATGCAAATCAATCTTATTTAGCGGCTTTACTGGATAAAATATGTAAGTTTGTTGGTAAGACGAGACATGATGCAATGTGAACAGGGCCTAATGCCCTAAAAAATTATAAACTTTAGGTCTAATTTTAATTCTACTATGACTTTTTTTTTGTCTCGTAAAAAGCTATTAACTTTTATTTGAGTCCCAAATCTATCCCGTTAATCCTCCGTCCAAAATTACTTGTTAACAATCGAGAGATGAAGAACTCCCGCGCGTGGGCTATTTGACTGTCCCAAGTGCGAGTTTTCTCATCATGAGAGATGGGAGAGTCTTGAGCACGAGAGATTGAAGACTGAGCACAAAATAGAAGATCCCTGAGTGAAATAAGAGGAAGGGCCTGTTTGGTTCAACTTTTAAAATGCTACTTGGGGGAATGCAAATACCTTTAGGTTAAAGTTCCTTGGGAAAATGCAAGTGGCGTTTGATAAAAAATCATTTGTAAAGTTACTTTGGCCTAAGTAGTGTTTGGTAAATTTTTTTTTGCCAAAGGGCTTTGGGAATTATCTTTTTTATTAGAAAAAAAAAAAAAACCTATCCCACCCTTCGCAGGAGCCGGTGAAGGCCTACGGCCACCGGCGAGCTAGATCTTGCATCGGCGACCGTCGCCCGAGGTCGGGCGACCCCCAGCGAGCTAGATTTGCCGCCGGCGGTCGTCGCCCGAGGCCGGGCGACCCTCGTCGGCCCAATCCGGTGTCAACCGCCCTCGCCGGCCTTCCTCGCTGGCCACCTCACGAAGAAGATAAACAGTACCAAGAGGGGCAAAACCGGAATAAGCTAAAATAAGTGAGGGTAGTTTGGGGACAAAAAATTTTGGTTCAGCATTCCAAATACTAGCATTTGGCCAATACTAGGCCGAATGTTGAACCAAACGGTTCAGTATTTTGGGAAGGGGCTTTCGAGGCTGAAAGCCCATTCCCAAAGCTGAACCAAACGGGGCCGAAGACTCTCTTAAGAGTAAGAGCAATTGAAGAAAGCCAATCTTAATTGCTTTAGTTTTTACCTAAATTTCGAATCTAAGTAGACATCGTTTGGGCTGACGTGAGAATTCATTTGCAAAAGACATCTTCGTGGATCTGAATGTTGGGATAAAATTAGAGCAATGAGTGCAAATGCCAAGTAGGATCACTAAGAGCGATTTTGGTCTGAGAGTTAACGGAGAGATGGTATTTAAGTAAAAGTTAGTGATTTTTTATTAAAAAAAAAATTGAGGTTAAAATTGAGACTGAATCTAAAGTGGGGCTATTTCCGGTCATAGAAATAAAAATTTCCTTAATCATCCTATGGGTATTGAAAGTAGTGAACCCAAAATATATCCACTTTCCTTTTTTTAATTATTTTATATCTATATTGGATCTAATTGCTATAATTATGAACATGTTTTATTTAAAGAAAAATTTTAAGGAGGCATTGCCATGTAAGAAATTTCCAAAAAACCTACTTCTTTTTCATGTTGTTGAGTAAATTTAACGATTAATTGCATGAGCATGAACAACTTTAACAAGGTCATATGTATTTTTTTTTTTACCATAGCAAGGTCACATGTATAAACTTATGTTTTTGTTGTATCAGAGGCAAAAAAAAATAAAATTATTAGTTGGTTTTCATATACTCGTATTGGGCCATGGGATGACAAGATGAAACCTAAAAAGCCCTTTTAAAGATTTGCCGATATAAAGTAACTATTACATTCCTCCATGCAAAATTTCAAAAGATAAAATTAAATTAAATCAAAGCTTTGTAAAAAATGATTTTGAAAGGACAGTCAAATTTAATTAATTTTGAATTGAAAATAATTTATATCACACATCCAAGGTTTATGAAAAATATCAAGGTGCCTCAATATGCATAATTCTTCTTACATCATTGTATGTAGTTTTTTTTTTTATACTCCTATAGTTTCTTATAAGCCCTGTGTAAAAGTGTTTCACTACTGTACAGAAAAAAAAATCACCAATTCTTTAACACAGAAAATAAAGAGACTTGATTTTTTAAAGACTAATCAAATAATAAATAACGGATACACCAAAAAAAGAGCCTCTGAAGTAGAAGGACAAAGAATGGATAAGTTGCGGTAAGAGTAATGGTGAAGAAAAGGCTATTTTTTAAAAAAATTTTATAAACAGCACTAAGTTTAAATTTGAGGATTAATACCACGAAAAACCCCAAACTGGTATACCTGTGACAATTTTACTCCGAACTAATTTTTTGATCGCCAAAAACCCCAGATTGGTACACTTGTGATAAATTTACCCCGAACTATTTTTTTGACCGTCAAAAATCCCATACTGTTACACTTATGACAATTTTACCCCGAACTAATTTTTTTACTACTAAAAACCCCAAACTGGTACATTTGTGACAAATTTACCCTTTGTTAGTATCCGTTAAATTTGATTAATATCACAAAAAACTACAAATTGATAAACTTGTGACAAATAGAGGGGTAAAACCCTAAACTGGTACACCCGTCAACTACCACTTATCATCAAACTTAGTAATTTGATAGTAAAATTTAACGAAAACTAACGGAGGGTAAATTTGTCACAGGTATACAAGTTTGGGGTTTTCGGTGGTAAAAAAATTAGTTTAGGATAAAATTGTCACATGTGTACCAGTTTGAGGTTTTTGGTAATCAAAAAATTAGTTCGGGGTAAAATTGTCACAGGTGTACCAGTTTGGGGTTTTTTGTTGTTAAAAAAATAGTTTGGGGTAAATTTATTACGGATGTATCGGTTTGGGGTTTTTCGTGGTATTAACCCTAAAATTTTGAGGGCAATAACTAAACTAAAGTAAACTGTGCTAAATTGAAAATTATCAATGGCGGTTTTATCTGCCTAATGAAATACGGTGGATTAAGTCAAGCGGGAAGTGGAATTAGCCCCACCCACGTGAAAATTTTGTGATATCGGCGGCAAAAAGGCTCAAATCACCCCGTACAATGATTAGTACAAAAGGTCTAACCTCAAATCTTGAAATATAAGGTGAGTGAATGAAGCTCATCTGTCAAAAAACAGTCATCGCACAGTTGAGGATATGATGTTCATTCGTCTACATGTGTGCTGTCTCTATTTTGTTTAATAATTTAACCTCATAAACTGGATATTCTAATGAGGTAGTCCACATGTGTTCTCTATACAACTTTGGTTCAATTTACGCGTGAAACAAAAGTGTTAGAATGTTATGAGGATATGATGTTCATTCGTCTACATGGGTTCTGTCTCTATTCTATTTAATAATTTAACCTCATAAACTGGATACTCTAATGAGGTGGTAGAGTCTAATCTCGCATCCTTCATGTCCCATTTGAGCTTATTTCGCGCGTGGTTGCCCGCTTATCAGTTCCACATGTGTTCTTCATACAACTTTGATTCAATTTACGCGTGAAAAAAAGTGGTAAAATGTTATTCACGTTACTTGGGTTGGAGATTCCAATGTGTTTATGTACCCAAAGTCTCTCTCCATCCAATAACTTAATATTTTCAATTGACCTTTCTAATATGGTAAATATCCAATAACTTAATATTTTCGGTTGATCTTTCTAAAATTGTATAAACGCACACTTCTGCATACTTCATTCCGCATGTAAATTTGCTTCTGCTATATTTTCCCTCTCTTGATATTATTCATATTGCTTATATATGAGATTTCAAAGGCCCGTAGCCTTTTCTCAACTTAATAATTTAAATATTTTAAGTCGAATTCTCTAATAAAGAAAATGCATATTTCAATATATTAAGTTGAACTTTCTAGAATGGTATAGAAGCGCGCTTTTGCATTCTTCATGTCACATATAATTTTGACTCCAATGTAATTTCCTTTTCATTTATGAGATTTCAAACTTCTGAGTTCTCAATTTCACATATAATTTGTTTCTAATGTAATTTTCCCTTTTTAGAAATAAATGCACATCGCTTATATATGAGATCTCTCTCTGTTAAGGGTTGATGTGAGCCACGAGGTTGCGGGCTACAATCCCCATGATCCATTTTTTTTTGGAAATACCTTGTTAATTTCAATAAATAATTGCTAATTCTAAAATACATAACATATCTTTAATCTCGGCTGCCCCAAAAATTTCATCCTAGATTTGTCACTGTGTTCTTCTCTAAATCGTTCTCTCTCTCTCTCTCTCTCTCTCTCTCTCTCAATGTTGGGAATCAACACCAGAATATTGAAATTTCACGACTTGAATACTTTTTCACAAAATTTTGTGATTAAATTGCATTCTTTAACCAAATTACAAGAAAAAAAAAATCAAATTACAAGACTCGAACTGTATTTATCCGTGTTGTTTCTTCAAGAAGATCATTTATCAGTCAGTGTGTTTTCCCACTGTCTTTCCTCTTCTTTCATTCTATCTTCCTCGACGAGCAGGTTATCTTTTCTCATAAGAGATCAATATATGTGGGAGGACTGGTGCTACTATAAGGCCTAAACAAGATTTTTTGAAAATTGTCATTTTTTTGTGGATGGGCTACTTTCAGTACAAACTTCTAAAGATAATCTCTTCCTTCTTTTTCTATTTTCTGCCATAGGATTGAGCATATATATGAACATGTACGTGCACTGCGGAGAAGAGAGAGAGAGAGAGAGAGAGAGAGAGTCTGCAACTATATTGAGGGGTTCAACTTGTAAGCTACGATAAACATCTGAACAATTTGGACATGCCCGATGGATGCAAAACAAGAATAGGAAGAGGCCTCAAGTTGATGTTTGGAGGGAGAACTTCAAGTCTTGGATCGATATCAACCCCACACAAATCTTTGCTATAGTCATTCTGAATGCATGACATCGATTAAGTTAGAACCGCAACGTTTAGGACGATTGACGTGATCTCCCAAGACAGAAACGTTTGTCCGGGCTATATTACCAGGTCAAAGATAGACACGGGCATCACTTGTTTGTTGCTATTAACTATCTTCACTAATTCCGACAGTTCGGGCTTTTATGAGTCTACAAAGTAATGCGGTGAAAAAAACACAAGAAGATATGTGAATCGTGTAGTTCTGTAGAAGTAAGTCACATAAGCACTCATATTGCAAAATGAGGAGAAGAGAAGTAAGGCAGATATGATATATATTGATATCAGCGAAGAGTCGAAGTACACAGAGAAAAGACTGCATGAAGCACAATCATATACTAACAAGTGTTGCTCGCTGTGACATAGTAATAGTACTCGAACGTGAAGCAAAAAATAAGGAGGATTTAAACGCACCAGCAGCCCCAAGGTGATTATTTACATCATCAAATTGCATTGGCCCTCTACCGGGAGGCAAAAGCAGTGTGGGAAACCGCAAAAACCTGCCATTTTCTATCACATCTTCTGATTATTATTGGCATGAGCCTGCATTAAAAGTTCAACACCCCACATCAGAAAGTAAATACATCAAGAATGACTCTCCTAGGTATAGAATAACATTGGGATGATTTGTTTTCCTTTTGGCACCAATAGGGATTCATCTGGGTTAGCAAAAAAACATAGCAAGAATAGAAAGCATACAATGGTGGCCACATGAATTCGGAAATTAGCTGTGTGAAATTGGTACATTACCTGGTAGTTAAATATTATTTGACAACTAAATAAGAACTTAAATTAGGCTTGTTTTGGCCTAGCATTTGAGTCTTTTTCTTGAAAGAAGATTGTTAACTACAATTAAGGATGAGGCATTTCAATTCCTCAACCAAAAACTAAAGGTTGAATAGCAATCATGAATTCATATATCTATGTTTGTGAGTTAAATATTTAAATTAACTGATTGAATAAGGAAAATATATCAAAATCCTATCCAGATTCTAATTCAAGAGTCATCAATCAACCGGGTATTAGATCCTCATCAAATCATGATGTTACCGAGCCTCTCCCGTGTCAGAGATGAACTATTGATTGAAGAAAAAGAACAAGTATCTTAGATCGACAAGCTTCATAAAAGAAAAAAAATTGTATAGATACATTCTTGAAATAACCTGGTGTAGCCAGAATCAACTGGGTACTAGATCCTCATCAAATCTTGATGTTACCAACTCTCATGGGTCAGTGATTTATATTATTGACAAGGTTAATAAAAGAAGAAAAATCTGTACAGATACATTCTTGAAATAGCCCTGTATAAGCAGAATCACCTACCCTTGCAACATTAGAGTACTGTTAGACATGTACATTGTATTATTGTAAGACAACATAGGTCAGTAAAAAAATGTTTAAGTTCAGCAGTATTAAGTATTGCGTAGCATTGGTATTCTACACTGGCATTTCAAAACTGCATGTTAGGATTTTCTTCCTCAGTTCGACCGTATATTCTGAAATTTAGAGAAAAAGTAACTAATAACGGACGAAAATCAAATGACCACAGGTGAAATACTTCGGCAATAGTATGTTAGGACAGGTTTCTGGAACACACGTCTCATAAGCAGGTAATTAGATAGTTTACAGAAAATGATGTCGTCACAAGAAGATTATTTCCATGACAGAAGGGCGGTGGCTAAAGAAGAAAGATCACGAAGTCCCCCTTTTCCTTTGTGTGTGTGTTTTTTCGTTCTCTTAGCTCACATGTCACTTCAAAAGCAGACAATGTAAGCTCTTTCACAAGCTTAAAGCCACAAAAACTTGTGGGTTTAAGCATAACATGTTTCCCAAGCAGATATCGTTTTGATTCCTTGTCCAAAACTGTTACATTGTAAAGTTCAGGAACTTGACTCTTGCCTCCAAAAGCATCAACCCTTTTTTAGATTCGTTTCTGTAATTCTTAGTTGTTGGAGTTTTGTCTCAGGAGGCACGGCTCGGTTGCTTTCAAGGCCTAAGTTCAAAGATTCTTGTACACCAAAATACCTTAATCTACATACAATAAATAATCTCGTGATTAAGCTGATCTTATATGGACTGTCTAAAAGATATCTTCTGTTGTGTACCTTTATTTTGTTGTATTCAGATCTATTGATCGTTTCTCATATGTAAATGATTTTTTTTTTCAAGAAGGGGAAAGCATTAGCTCTCTATTAGGTTTGTTTGAATCTTCATTAAGATGAGAATCAAAGCATTATCAATCACTTGCTAAGGATTGGGCCTTGATGTTTTGTCATAGGATGTCAAGATCCCAATTAAAATAGACCTTACGACTTCTTGAAAATGCTGTAAGTCTCAATGTTGTTAGAGATTCAAACCTTTTCTTTTCAAATATACTTTCTAAAATAAACAATTTACCGAGTGATTTTTTAAATTTTTTAGGTAAGACTTGAAACAAGTGGGAAATGGAAACTAACTGCGTATTTATGCATGAACTGTTGTCTGAAACTTTCTTTTGCACTTGGAAGAACACGTGGAGTGTATTGAGGGATGAGAAAATGATCGTTATAGAACAGTGTATACGAACACAAAGATCATTTGATAATCAACCCAATAGGGTTGAACTTCAACAAATAAATTATATCTATGTGAATCCCACAGATTCAAGGCACTTTGTGATAAAAACAGTTCAACTCCCTCGACAAAAATAGCTATAAGTTGTGTTATGGCAAGAGAAGTAGACAAGGTGAAGGTATAATATCTAATATTATGTGGATAAAAGATATTGATAAGATAACCGTATAAATGAAATAATTTCTTCTCTATGCTTCTTTCTAGATATGAGCAAAAGAGACAATACACAACAAATAAATGTCGGTTGGACATTTGTTAATGTAGGGGTTATTCGCAGTTACAAAATCTTAATTCTAAGTCCTAGATTTATGAAATTTGAGACTGGCAATGATGGCGTCTGCCACAAAGAATTTTATATGAGAAAAAGCCATTTTCGTGGGCAGTAAAATATTGATGAAGGATTTCTATATGAAACCTTAAACTTAGTTAATCATTTCTTTCCATGGATTTGATCATTGTAAATCATGTCCACTTGGAAAAGTGTTCTACGAAGATTCACTGCCCATGGGGGCACCCAAATCTACAAAATCTTAATAGACCCAAATTTGGGGAAAAGTTATTCAAGCAGCCAATAAAAAATACATTAATGTACCATAAACACTGTTTTTTGTATGACAGGTGACTATACAACCATTATATTTGACAGATAATTACAGAAGGAGATTGGAAAAGAAGCTTCCTTGGATTTTTCAATTAGCTCTGTACTGTTCTCGAATCTCAGTGTATTCAAGGTATAATTATGATGATGGGTCTCAGCAAGTTCCCAGCTTTACACAAATTCAAGAAAATATTCCCGAAGTACTACAAAGAAACTAGGGTTAAGGGAGTATGTACAGAAAGAGCAGCATTGACCCAGACTTTAGATGTTGATCATATTCAAGAATGAACTCTCCTGTAAAGTTCTTCAATTCACAACTTCTTTGATTGATCTATAAACTCTTTTCCTCGGAGACATATCAATGTTAACACGGTAAAAACACATCAAGTCCCAAGTAATGCTTGATGCTTCACAACAGACTTAACCGCCAATCTATGAAGCTAGAATCGATGTCAACAGTTATAAACTATGGAAAAAGGAAGATGTGTGTGTGCTCATTAAAGTGTACGAGAAGCCAAGTAATGCTTGATGCTTCACAACAGAGTTCACCGCCAATCTATCAAGCTAGAATCGACGTCGACAGTTACAAACTATGAAAAAGGAAGATGTGCGTGTGCTCATCAAAGTGTGCGAGAAACCAAATAAAGAGATTATTACCGCTTAACCTTGGAAATGCATGGTTGAACTTGATCCATCACCGCCCTTCCCTTGTGCTGAAGTGACCTTCTTCTTCTTCTTGTATGGAATTCCTCTTGCCTTGGCTTGGCACTCCCTCACCTCCCTAAGGTACACCCTAATTGCACCGCTAGCAAAAGGGTTCGTCTCCGGCGACCCACCATTCTCCTCGTAGGCAGCCCGGAGCCTCCCGATCAGCGCATCCAAGCTGCCCCAAGCTTGGCGGAGTGGGCATGTGCACGGCGCAGGTGGCTCGGGCTGCCCGTAGAACACACACCCTTGCAAGTGGACCTTGGTCTTCCCAAATTGATCGAGGTACCGGAGGAACTCAAGGACATGGTTGCAATTGCACTGCGAGAGCGGGACCGGTGGCCTCTGGTTCCGCAGATAATGGCCGAACGTGTTCCAATCCCGCCGCTTCTGGGACTCATATCGGCTCGGTGTTGCTGGCTGCTGGTCGCTAGGAGATCTGGATGACCCCAACTCGGCTATCTCCTTTCCTCTTTCACTGGACATCTCTCTGGACGAAGATGGGGCGAAATCTTTTTTGGACTTGTTTTGATAAATATGGCACCATTTTGAGGGTAAAATAACAGGAGGATTTTGGAGTGGAGGAAGAAGACGATCACATCATGGGACCTAATTGCTTAGACATTAGCATATGGGCCACATGAAGTTGCTTTCTCTACTTCTTGATATTTCGAATTTTACCGCTTTGTTTATTAATATAGCGGTACTGATGTTTCCTGTACGTTTCTCCAGTAAAATGGAATTCAATTCACGCTATTTGTCAGCATAAGCTCTGTCGTTTAATTAACCTAGAGTAACCATAACCTAAAGATTTTGACTTCATATTCACACAAAAGTCACTCATCACGATGAATAAGTAAATAAGAAATTATTGATCTCGACCCAAAAACTTTTATGCGTTCGAAGCCTTCTTATCGAGAAGAGTTGTCCAAAGATGTAATAGCGGACAAGTTCCCGAGTTTGTAATTATAAATGAGTATCAGCACACGAAATTCTAATAACCTAAAACCTGCGTGCGCCAATTCTTGTACAAAAGAATGTAAACTGTCCTCTTTCACAACATCATTCCAGTAGAAAGAGCAGGCTTAGGAGTCAAGGATTGGACTCCTTTAAGTCATTGGCGGAATCCCTGAAAGCATATAGTACATATTTGACTTTTCTAAAATGGAGAGAAGATGTGAATGAATGAGATCTCCGCTTGAAGATTTCATGTCGCTATTGTGCTTGTCCTTTTCAGATATATGAACCTGAATGTACATTTGTAGAAGCTCTAGAAAACAAAAGAGTAGCTAGAAATGCTCAGAAACTTTGATCTGGAGAGATTCCAAATCAAAGTTGCTTGTCAGGATTTTGGAAGCAGAGCTCATGCATAAACAAATATGGCACTGAAGAGGTCACATTACTAACCACTATAAAGGACTTTTCCTTTTGTTTTTGGAAGTTAAGGAAAAGGAAAATTTCAAAAAACCTTCCGGACCTCGTTACTCTAGACATTCTTTATCTTCAAAACCACAGCTACTACCTTTACTTTTGTAATGCGTGATGTTACATCCCACGACGAATAAACGTTTGAGTTTATTTATTAAAGTGCCATTTCCCTTCCAAAATATTCATCTCGCTGTTTTTTCTTTGATGAATAATTAGCCACCTTAAAAAATCGACTCAATTTCCAAACCCAAATTCAGTCATCGCCGCCTTGCTCGCAATTCGTTATCGGCTACGCCCCTCTGCTCATTGGCCCGCTGATCTATCGCAAATCCTAAGTCGTCACAACATTGGCGATCTCAATCCATGATGAAATTGAGAGATTAAGAAATTCATTTTCTAGGATAAGTGTATGATTAGGGTTTTGTGAAAATGGTTGATGGAATGGCTTTAAAGGGACGTGCATGAGTGAAAAACGAAGTTGGGCTAGAAGAAGCTCGGAGAAATTGTCTAATGTCCCAAACCTATTGTATGAATGCCAATTAAGAATTTTCCAATTTTGTGTGAATTTTGATATAGTTCCTCCGGTCAATTTTCGCCGGAAATTACTGACGCGGTTGTGTGCCACATAAGACAACTGATGATGACTAGACCACCACGCTAGTAATTTCCGAGCGAAAACTGACCAAATGGAATACCTTGACATTTCGCATTAATAAAAAAACTTTTGGTTCACCACCAAAGGATTTAGATAAAGAACCGAAATTAGGAATTCAATCAATTGAGGAAAATCTCATGTATATTCAAAATGCAAGTGTGGTCTGCTTGTACAATTGAGATTGCACCTTTATATATAGAGGGCTCTGCTAAGCAGACGAAAATGACTCTTTGAACTCTGGAAAAACATAATGACTCTTGGACCAATCACATAATTATGACTCTAGAAATTGACATAGACTTAAGACAAAAAAAACTAGGATTTTAAATTGACAATATAATTAACATGCATAATAACTAGGACTTGACCCTCCAAATTCATCCACTAGTCTTGGAAGTCGATAGACAAACATAGGAATTGGCCAATAGTTACTTGGTAGTTTATCAGCAACCATGAAATCGACAACTAGCCTTATGAGTTGACAACTAACCTTGCGGGATTGACAACTTCAACCTTGGACCCATCGAATCACGTTGTGACTGGCTTGCATGAGTAATGACTGGGTTGGATCAATCGACGAAATTTGAGTTGGGCTCGAGAGTTATTCCATGGGACCTGATGCTCCCACATCATTCTCCCTAGATTGATTGAGATTTGGCCTCAAATCTGATAGACCTTCATCTTTAAAATGAGGAGAAAGGTTTCCTATATTGAAATTGCCGAGACGCCACGTTCTCTAGGGAGATCAACATTGTATGCATTGTCGCTCATTCTCTCGAGTACTTTAAATGGGCCATTAGCTCTAGGCATGAACCTGTTCTTTCGTCAAGATGGAAACCTCTCCTTCATCAAGCTGGAAACCTCTCCTTCTTCAAGTGTATCAATACAAGATCACTTGGTTAAAATCGAGCCGTCTTCATATGCTTGTTAGCTTTCTTTTTGTAAGACTCGTTTGCCTATTTCAATCTTGGATCGAATCTCCTCATGAAGCTTCTTCAAAACATCAGCTCTCTTTCATCTTCATAGTTCACTTGCAAGTTGGATTGAATAGGAATCAAGTTGATAGGTGTGAGAGGATGGATCTATACATAACTTCAAGAGGTGATCGACCTGTATTGTAACTTGGCAATCGATTATAAGCTTTAAATCCCAATCCTTCAAAGTCTTACTCACCAAACTTCGAAGGAGGGTGAGGGTGTGTTGGTTACTTCATTTTAGCCATCTATTTTTGGATGACAAGTAGTGTTGAATAGGAGTTTAGTGCAAAGCATCGTTCATAGGGTCTTTCAAAAGTAACTCAGTACTTGGAATCACAATTTGACACAATGGCCTTAGGAATCTCATGTAAACGAAAATTCTCCTTGAAATATAGATCAGCCACGTGAGAAGTATCATTCGTCTCATGATGCAAAATTAAATGTGCCATATTCGAAAATCAATTAACCACCACCATGATGGCATATTTCTTCTTCTGAGTTCTTAGGAGTGTCACAGTAAAATCCATACTTACATCCTCCTAAGGCTGCATCGGAATTGAATGTGGAGTATAAAACCCTTGATGGAAATGACTATTCACATTTTGTCGCGTTGAACATTTGGAAATGATTGCATGTATATCCACATTCATCTTCAGCCAATAAAAATGTTCTTGAAGGGCTTTGAGAGTTTTGTTTATTTCGAAGTTGCCTTTCAATCATTCACCATGCGCTTCTCAAATCAGTAGCTCTCTAACGGAACTCTTTGGCACAGAGAGTCTATTTCCCTTAAAGAGAAATCCATCATAAATCGATAAGTATTATGAACTCCATGTTTGCAGTTGTTGACGATGGGCAAGAACATTGAATTTTCAGCATAAAGTTCTTTTTTCAAGTTGAAGCCAAGGACCCAAGAGTCCAGAACAATGAACATTGAATACCTTCTCGAGAGGGCATTTACTACAACATTGGTCTTGCCAGGTTTATAGTTCAAGACAAAGGAAGAGGATTGAAGGAACTCCACCCATTTAGGTGGTCAATTAAGAAATTTGTTTCTGGGATAAATGAATGATTAGGGTTTTTAGGAAATGGTTCATGGAAGAATTTTAATGGACGTGTATGGTGAAAAATGAAATTAAGATAGAAGAAGCTCACAACCAAGGCTTTAAGGAACACACCACTAGCCAAGGATAAGGAAACTCGACTTCACCACCTAACCATAAAAGAACACACCACTAGTCGAGGATAAAGAAATTCTGGTCCACCATCAAAAAATTTGGATAAAGAACCGAAATAAGAAATTCACTTACTTGAGGAAAGTCTCATGTATATTGTTAATGCAAGTATGGTCTGTTCGTACAAATGAGATTGCCTTCTTATCTATAAAGGGACTCTAAAAAAACCAAATAGACTCTTTGAATTCTAAAAACCATAATTGCCCTTGGACCAATCACATAATTATGACTCCAGAAACGACAGTACACTTAATACTCGTTAAAACTAGGATTTGAAAATGATAATACAACTAAGATGCATAATAAGTAGGTTTTGACCATCCAAATTCGTCCACCAGTCTTGGAAGTCACCTTGGAAGATCGATAGACAATCATGGGAATTGACCAACAGTTACTTGGTAGTTGATCATTGGCCTTGAAATCGACCATTAGCCTTGTGAATCAACATTTAACCTAACAGGATCGACAACTTCAACCTTAGACCCATTGAATCTTGTTGTGGCCGAAATTCGCATTGCTTGCATGAATAAATTTGATTGGATCGATCGATGAAACTTGAGTTGGGCTCGAGAGTTATTTCATCGTGCATGATGCTCCCGCATCCCTTTGAGGTTGCCTACGGTAGCTCACAACCTCATATTGAGGTCACTATTATCGTAATGTCTATATGATTAAATATGGTTTGAAAATATAAAATTGTATATTTAAAGCAATTAGCCTTCTTAAAATGGGTACTTTTTCAGTTTCTAAGATGTCTCAAAAAGTGGTCTTTTTTTACCTTTTCCAGTTACTTATTTTAGTACCCCGGACATTTTTTAACAGAACCCCAAAGAAAAATATCAAAGACATATATTTATCTACTTGGTTGGGAATTCAAAACTCGGAAAAAGCATTGCTGCCTTTAAATCTTTAGAAAGTTAAAAAAAAAATCAGTTTTGCATTTTGATTGAATGTTATTCTAATACTACTTGGTATGGGATTCCAATTCCTTAGAACAAATTGTACAGCGGTGAGAGACTTTTTTTACAAAGAAATATATCTACATGACAAAACAGTGGTGGGACTCTGACACACCCACGTAGGGTCACTACACAACAACGAAGTAATGAGATGGGATTTGGGAAGAGAGAGAAAGAGAGAGGCGCACAAAAACATGTGAAGTCCCAGAATGGATTCACACTCCTTGTTTGCTGAAACTTGTTTTGGCACTTGTTCGTATCATCTACTTTACAGAATTAAGGCTTTTGTCTTGATGTGATCATATAATTGAACTTATGCTAAGCAAAGGGGGTGTCATTTTCTCAGATGAAAATA